ATTTTTACCCAGAAGGTGGTACAAATATGGAACATGCTGCCTGAGAGGGTGATTCATGCAGGTACTCTCGCAACATTTGAGAAGCATCTGGATGAGCACTTAAAATGCCAGGGCATAGTGGTAATAGACAGTGAAGGGAAATGGGATTAGTGCATTTCGGCAGTTGTTGGTTGGTATAGACCTGGTGAGTCGAAGGGCCTGTTTCTATGCCGTATGCCTCTATGAGAGAGAATTTATCCAATCCCATTTTGAAAGATGCAATTGAATCTGCTTCTCCTTTCCCCACAAGCAGTGCATTTTAGACCATACATTTATTGTGTAAATCGTCTTCCTTCATACTTCCTCTAGTTCCTGTGCAAATTCCATTAAATCTATATCCTCTCTCCTTCTGCCAAGAGAAAGTTTCACCTATATTAACTGTCAAAATTCTTCAGTACTTTGCAAACCTCAGTCAACTTTTCCTTAACTTTCTCTGGTCCAGACAGAACAGTCTCACCTTCTTTAATGTCTCCATGTCGTTGAAGTGTCAGCCCTAGAATTCCATGGTTCTATAATTCTCTTCAGCAACCTCTATAAGACCTTAATATTCATCCAAAGGTGTAGTGCCAAAACATTCCAGATGGGGCTGTAACTCGTGTTTAATAAAATTCAGCATAATTGCCTTCTTCTGTAGTCATATACAAAGATTTTTACAAGATTTTTAATATTCTTCTGCATTGTCCTGTGACCTTCAAAGTTTGTGTTCATACAAGCAGGCCCCTCTGTTTCTGCACCCCTTTTATCATTATACAGTTTGGTTTATCATGCCAGTTCTCATTCTTCCTACCAAACAGTACTTTTCGTATTCTCTGCATTAGGTTATATATGCGATGTGCCTATCAACTTCAACAATCTGCTGATGTTTTCTTAAAGTTTTGGCTGTGGTAAATTAGGAGCAGTGTCATAGGAACATAGAAAATAGGGGCAGGAATATGCCATTCAGCCCTTGAGCCTGCTCCACCACTCAATAGATCATGGCTGATCATCCTTCTCGTACCTGTTCCTGCTTTCTCCCCATACCCTTGATCTTTTTAGCCCCAAGAGCAATATTTAACTCCTTGAAAACATTCAATGTTTTGGTCTCAACTGCTTTCTGTATCAGAGAATTCCATGGGCTCACTACTCTCTAGATGAAGAAATTTCTTCTCATCTCAGTCCTAAGTGGCCAATTCATTTCCTTAGACTGTGACCCCTGGTTCTGGACTGTCACGTCATTTGGAACTTCCTTCCTGCATTTACTCTGTCTAGTTCTGTTCGAATTTTATAGGGTTCTATGATCTCTCTCCTCATTCTTCTAAACTTCAATGAATATAGTCCTAACCTTTCCAGTCTGTCTTCACACAGCAGTCCTGCCATTGCAGCAATCAATCTTATCATCTTTGAGTCAGAAGGTTGTGGGCTGAAGTTTCATGTCACGACATAAGCTGAAGGTTCAGATCTGACAGTCAAGTACAGTGGGAGGAAGTTCAGCATTGTTGGAGTATGAGCTGTTAAACTGAGATCCAATCTGCTTTCTCAGATGGATCTAAAACAGCCCAAGGTTCTACTTTGAAGAAGAGCAGAGAGGTAATTCCTACAGGCCAATAATTATTACTTAATCAAAGTTACAAAAGCATACTATCCTGTCATTACCATGTTGTTATTTGTAAAAGCCTGCTGATCACAAACTTTCTGCTGCATTTTCTACATTACTTTTGAAATGTAATCATTGTTGAATGTCGTTAACTTTAAAGTGCTTTGGGATATTTTGTGTTCATAAAAGTTGTTATATAAATACATATTTTTCTTTTTTACTATCTTTCTGATTGGCTTTTCTCATTCCAAGTTTTAGGTCAAAGAACACCACAGCACAGGAACGGGCCCTTCGGCACACCAAGACTGCGCCGGCACATAATACCTTTCTAAACTAAAAACCTTTTGCCTCCAAGTTGTCTGTATCTCTGGACTCCCTGCCAATATATAAATCTGACATATACCTCTTAAACATTCCTATTGTATCTGCCTCCTCCACCACCTCTGGCAGCATTCCAGGCACTTACTACCCTCTGTAATAAAAAAAACCTGCCTCTTGCATCTCCTTTAGACTTACCCACTTTTACCTTAAACCTAAGTCCCCTCATAATTGACATTTCTACCCTGGGAAAAGCAGTCCGACTATCCATTCTATCCATGCCTGTCATAATTTTGTAAACTTCTATCAGATCGCCCCTCATCCTTTGACGTTCAAGTAAAAACAAACCATGTTTGTCCAATCTCTCCTCATAACTAATACACACCAAACCAGAGAACATCCTAGTAAACCGTTTCTGTACCCTCTCCAAAGCCTCCACATCCTTCTGGTAATGTGATGACCAGAACGATACACAATATTCCAAATGTGGCCTAAATAAGGTGTATACAGCTGCAACATGTCTTGCTAATTTTATACTCTGTGCCCTGACCGATGGAAGCAAGCATGCCTAAAGCCTCCTTGACCACTTTATCCACTATGTTGCCACTTTCAGAGAACTGTGGACCTGTATGTTGACCCTACTAAGGGATCTGCCATTTACTCTATACTTTCTTCCTGCATAGATCTCCCAAAATACATTACCTCACATTTGTCCATATTAAACTCCATCTGCCATTTTTCCCCCGAAATCTATAGTCTACCAATATCCTGCTGTATCTTCCGGCAATCCTCCTCACTACCCGCAGCTCCCCCAATCTTTGGGTCATCCACAAGCTTTACTAATGAGACCACATACATTCTCCTCCAAATCATTTATATATGTTAAAAACAACAGGGGTCCCAGCAGTGATCCCTGTGGAACACCAATGGTCATAGACCTCCAACCTGAAAAACACCCTTCCGCTGCTGCTCACGGCCTCCTATGACTAAGTTAGCTCTGTATCCAACATACCAGCTCACATGTGACTTCACCGTTTATATCAGCCTGCCGTGAACAACCTTATCAAAGGCCTTGCTGAAGTCCATATAGACGACATCTATTGCTTTGCCCTCATTAATCATCTTTGTCATTTCCTTGAAAAACTTAATCAAAACACGACTTTCCCTGCACAAAGCCATGTTACCTATCACTAATAAATCCATATTTTTCCACATGTGAGAAAATGCCATCCCTAAGAATCTTCTCCAATAATTTTCCTACCACTGACCTAAGGCCCACCGGCCTATAATTTCCTTGTTATCCTTGTTGCCCTTTGTAAACAAAGTAACAAATTTGGCTGTTCTCCAGTCCTCTGGGACCTCTCCTGTAACTAAAATGGATACAAAGATTTTGTATAACACCCCAACAATTTCATCACCTGCCTCCCTCAGTACTCTGGGATAGATCCCATCAAGAATTGGGAACATGTCTACCTTAATGCTTTTCAAACACCTCTTCTTTTTTTATATTGACATGCCCTAGAATATCAACATACCCCTCCCAATACTCACCATCCACCATGAACTCCTGCTTTGTGAATACTCATGCAAAGTATTTGATAAGGACCTCACCCACTTCCTCTGGTTCCATGCATAAATTCACTCCTTTGTCCTTGAGTGGACCTATCCTTTCCCTAGCTACCCTCTTGTTTCTTATATACATTAAAATGCATTGGGATTTTCCTTAATCCTGTTTGCCAAAGATTCATGGCCCCTTTTAGCCCTGTTAATTTCTTGTTCGAGTTCTTTCCTGCTGTCTTTGCATTCTTCGAGGGTTCCATCTGTCTTCAGTTTTCGAAACTTTAAGTATGCCTCCTTTTTGACTGAGCCCTCAATTTCTCTTGTCATCCAATATTCCGAATCTTGCCATCAAAGTAATTGATTCCACTGGGGATTGAACCCAGGACCTTTTGTGCGTAAAGCAGATGTGATAACGTAAAGCAGATATGATAACCACTCCACCATGAAACCATTCATGTCATCTGCAAGTTTGAAATTTTGCAGTTAATACCTGACAAAATCATTACTATCTAAGATAACCCCAGTTTGAATATTGACCCCAGGAACCATTGCTGTATAACTCCCCACAACTGTGACAAAACATTAACCATTCCTCTCTGCTTTCCACCACTATCTAATTTCATATCCATGCTGTCTTTTAATCCCATGTGCTCCAATTTTTCAAACAAATCTATAATTTGATACTCTACCAAGCATGGTTTTCTGATATGAACTAATATTGTGATTGGGAGGCTGCTCCATTTTTTGCAGTACATCTGGCCAATCCTGAGCCTGTTTTCATCCCCAGTCCATAGTCACCATGAATGGTTATTTTCTTGGAAAGAGCAGGTATCCTCAGAACTACAGCTCCTAAAGCTCGTGTCATATTTGGGTCTGTTCATAGAATCATATAGTGCAGAAGAAGTTCTTCAACCTTCAAGTGTGTATCATCAAAGGCTAAACTCGTCCCACTTTCCAGCGCCAGGACCATAGTGTTGAATGTTATGATATTCCAAGTGCTCATCCAAGTACTTTTTAAAGGTGTGAGTTTACCTGCATCAAATACCTTCCCAGGCAGTGCGTTCCAGACTGCCACCAACCTTTGGGTGAAAAGCTTTTTCTTCAAATCCCCCTTAAACCTCCTGACTTTCACCTTAAAACTATGTCTTTTTGTTACTGTCCCTTTGACTAATGATAACAGCTGCTTTCTTGTCATTCTGTCCATGCCCCTCATAATCTTCTGCAAATTATACTAATTGATAGAGCTGTTAATTGTTAATAACTACATAATCGTTGTATCACATAACTATTACTATAGCAGAAGGCAAAATTGGATGGAACTTCGTCTGTTTTCAGGTGGAAATTCCTATGTTCTCATGAGGTATAATCTTGGAGTATGCTATCTGCAACAAAGTGATCCAGGGAGCAGGGAGGTTGTCATGTCATGTATGTGCATGTAAGTGTGTTTCGTTTGGTATCTGATTTTTAAAATATTAATCACTAATGAATTATTTTTGTTCTTATTCAACAGATATAAAGATGGCCAGTACGACTGATGGCCTCATTGGGATTCCATTTCCAGACCATAGCAATGAACTCCTTTGTAGTTTGAATGAACAGAGACGAGATGGTCTTCTCTGTGATCTTATCCTGGTAGTAAAGGATCAGGAATACAAGACCCATAGATCAATCCTTGCAGCATTTAGCAAGTATTTCAAGAATCTGTTCACCACAGACATTCTTGAAGAGCAACATAATGTTTATCAGATTGATTTTGTGACACCTGAGGCACTTTCTGCAATATTGGAGTTTGCCTATACATCAACTCTCACGATTAGCAGCTCAAATGTAAAGGATGTTTTAAGTGCAGCACAGCTGCTGGAGATCCAGTGTCTTATCCAAGTATGTGGTGATATCATGGAATCAAGTGGTAGGGTAAGTGTTGACAGAAGAGGTCCAGAAAAACAATGTATCCAAAATCCTCAAGAAGATCTGCTCGTGGAAAATTTCAGAGAATCCCCCCAACAAGGTCCTGATGAATTCCCTGAACATGGGCTTAAAGAATCTCATGAGAAAGATTGCAATGGATTCCCTGAACAAGGTCACAAAGAGAATCCCCAGCAAGATCTCAAAGAACCTCCCCAACAAGATCTTGAAGAAACTCTTCAAGACCGTATCAATGAATCAGAGGAAAATTTCCAAGAACGTCACCGCTGGAATAAGGAATATAATTTTCAGAACACTTTGACCAACAAGCTTATAGAAAAGCAATGCAGAGAGCTGCCTTGTGAATTCTTAAGCCAATTTACTGTTAATGATCCAGGTGGATGCTTGCGACCTGTACGTGATTTCTCCTTAGAGTCTCTGTTAAAAGAAGGACTATGTCCTAGAGGAGATTTGCTTAATGGAAGAACTTGTGTGTCTCCACTCAGACCAGGATTCTTTCCTCCCCACTGGAACGGCGGGTACAATAGATTTCCCCAGCTTGTGCAACACCAAGATGTGGACCAATTGCCTCTTAACCTAGTGGTGAAGAAGGAAAAGATCAAGGAGGAGGCCAAGGAGGATCTACCTTCAACCACAAGTCTTTGTGACTTTTTTAAAGGTATTATGCTGGAAAATGGCCATAATAACCTTGGAACATTAAAGGACTTTAATTCCTATCTGAATATATTAGGTCCTTCCTATTTGGCAGCAGTCTATCCAACGTGGCCTTTGGAATATGAGAAAAAGATGAGACCCAAGGCATCTCAGCAGTGCCCTATCTGCAATAAAGTAATCCAGGGAGCAGGGAAGTTGCCACGACATATGCGAACACATACAGGGGAGAAACCATATATGTGCAGTATATGTGAAGTCCGTTTCACCAGGTTAGCAGCAGTTAATTTTTGTAATTTTATATTCCTCTGTGTTGGTAAATGGTTATACAGTAATCTTAGTAAATCAGCACTGACTCAGCATCCAGCACCATATTTCATCTTTTGTGGGATTATCATGGTGTTTTATGGAGCTTGTGCACCAAGGTTAAATGTGATTTAGTTGTAGCTTAATTTTCTTAATGATGTGGTTAATGCTCACATATAACATTCCAGGAATGTAATCTGGCATATTCCTTTAATGTTAATACAGACAAACTTATTGCTGATTTGCAATTCAAGTTTTCCCTTCATGCAATCTGCACCTCTGCCTTGACTACCTCACCAAGCAGCTTCCTTGAGATCTGGCAATACTCCTCATCTGTAGATTGGGAAAAGGTGAAGTTGTTCATTTTGGAAAGAAGAGCAGTATTATTTAAATGGAGAAAAACTGCAGAAAGCTGCAACGCAAAGGGACTTGGGGGTACTTGTACATGAAACATAGGCACAGCAAGTAATCTGAAAGGCTAATGGAATTTTGGCCCTTAGTTCAAAGAAGTTGAAGTGTAAAAGTGGGTAAGTCTTGTTGCAATTGTACAAGGTACTGGTGAGACCAAGTCTGGAATACTGTGAGCAGTTTTGGCCCCCTTATTTAGGAAAGGTATTATTTCACTGCGGGCAGTTTGGGGATAGTTAACTAGGATGATTCCCCCATGCAGAGGGATTCTCCTACAAGCAAAGGCTGAGCAGGTTGGGACTCTACTCACTGGAGTTTACAAGAATGAGAGATGATCTCATTGAAATATACAGGATTTTTATGGAGTTACAGGCTAAATGCTGAGGTAAATGGGAGAGTCTAGAACCAGAGTGCGTAGTCTCCGAGTAAAGGGATGCCAATTTAAAACTGAGATAAGGAAGAATTTCGTCCCTCAGAAGGTTGAGAGTCTTATGAACTCCTTGCCACAGAGAGCTGTGGGGGCAGAGTCCTTGTGTATATTTAAGGCTGAGATAGATTTTTGATCAAAAACAAAGTTGCTAGAAAAGCTCAGCAGGCCTGGCAGCATCTGTGAAGGAAAAACCAGTTAACATTATGGGTCCAGTGACCCTTCCTCAGAACTCACTGGACGTGAAACATTAACTCTGTTTTTTCCTTCACAGATGCTGCCAGACCTGCTGAGCTTTTCCAGCAACTTTGATTTTGTTCCTGATTTACAGCATCCGCAGTTCTTTCGGTTTTTATATAGATTTTTGATCAGTTGGGGAATCAAGGATTACATGGAAAGGGCAGGAAAGTGGATGTGAGGAATTTTGGATCAGCCATCATCCTACTGAATGGTGGAGCAGGCTTGACTAGTTTGCCTAACTGATTCTTGGCACTAATGAGTAATCATAAGAGGAAAATTTGGACAGGTTTTGCCTGTATCTATTGAAGTTGAGAAGATTAAGAGGTGATCTTCTTGAAGCACTTTAGATCTTGAAGTGACTTCACAGGTTAATACTGAAAGGATGTTTTCCCTTGAGAGAGACGAGAACTCAAGAACACAGTTTAAAAATAAGGGGACCTCCAACTTATGATGGAGATGAGGAAAATCTTTTCCTCTGAAGGTCGTGAGCCTGTGGAAGTCTGACCCTCAGAGATTAGGTCATTGAATTTTTTTTACGGTAGAGATAGTTAGTTAAAAACCTAGTTAAGGAATCACAGGGTATCAGAGGTCATCAAGACAGTGAAGTTGAGACCACAATTAGATCAGCCATCATTTAATTGAATGGTGGTGAAGGCTTGAGGGACCAAATGGCTGAACAGTGCTCCTGGTTTGTGCGTTTGTATGTGTTATTACCATAATGAAGAGTGTTGTTTTCTTCACATTCAAACTCTGCAGTTGTTAATGGGGAATTTGAAGGATTTTAATTTGTTTCAGCCGGTATTATATGTTTCTTAACAAATATGGATTTCTGTATATCTTTATAAATAACACTAAACAAAAAAAAATGTTCTGAAGAAGGGTCACTGGACCAGAAATGTAAACTCTGTTTTCTCTCCACACATGCTGCCAAACCTGCTGAGTTTTTCCAGAAATTTCTGGTTTTGTTTCTAGATGAAGATTATCTCATTTTTCACTTGGAAACCCTGGAGTCTTCTGGACTCAATATTGAATTCAATAATTCTATGGCCTGAGCACCTTCTCCCATGTCCTTACCCCAACCCCTACACACCAGACCTTGTCATTTACATTTTCTGCTGCCACAACAATCCTATTATCAGCCGCTAATGATCTCCATTAGTAGCTACTCATTCTTCCAGGCTGACCTTTACCCACTTCTTTGTCTGCCCAAGGTAACAAGGTGTAGAGCTGGACGAACACAGCAGGCCAAGCAGCATCATAGGAGCAGGAAGGCTGACGTTTCGGGCCTAGACCCTTCATCAGAAATGGGGGAGGGGAAGGGGGTTCTGAAATAAATAGGGAGAGAGGGGGAGGCAGATAGAAGATGGATAGAGGAGAAGATAGGTGGAGAGGAAACGGACAGGTCAAAGAGGTGGGGATGGACCCAGTAAAGGTGAGTGTAGGTGGGGAGATAGGGAGGAGATAGGTCAGTCCAGGGAGGACGGACAGGTCAAGGGGGCGGGATGAGGTTAGTAGGTAGGAAATGGGGGTGCGGCTTGAGGTGGGAGGAGGGGATAGGTGGGAGGAAGAACAGGTTAGGGAGGCAGCGACGAGCTGGGCTGGTTTTGGGATGCGGTAGGGGGAGGGGAGATTTTGAAGCTTGTGAAATCCACATTGATACCATTGGGCTGCAGGGTTTCCAAGCGGAATATGAGGTGCTGTTCCTGCAATCTTCGGGTGCAATTGTTGTGGCACTGCAGGAGGCCCAGGATGGACATGTCATCTGAGGATTGGGAGGGGGAGTTGAAATGGTTCGCAACTGGGAGGTGCAGTTGTTTATTGCAAACCGAGCGTAGGTGTTCTGCCTTCCCCTCCCCCATTTCTGAAGAAGGGTCTAGGCCCGAAATGTCAGCCTTCCTGCTCCTATGATGCTGCTTGGCCTGCTGTGTTCATCCAGCTCTATACCTTGTTATCTCAGATTTTCCAGCATCTGCAGTTCCTACTATCTCTTTGTCTGCCCAACTGTTTTCCTTTCTCTCTGGGTTCCATCTCCGCATTTTGTTTCCTCCTTCCCTCTCCCTTCTCTAACTATTTTCTTAGCTATAATCAGTTCTGAAGAAGGTTCATTGGACCCAAAACTCGGCTTTCTGTTCAAGATGCTGCCAGACCTGCTGAGTTTTTTCAGCAATTTCTGTTTTTGTTTACAAGTAACACATTTTCTAAATTCAGTTTTGTAAAGTTAAATTTATTGAATTATTTCATATAATTGTTTATGAACATTTGCCTGGGAAGACAATAGGACATCCCTAAGACTTTTTTTTCAAATTACGAGTTACATAATTTTGATTTATTAAAATCAAATCTCAAAAGTTTGGCCATGTGTTCCTTGCATTTAAAATCTACATGGTTAACAATAAATTTTGCTCTATTGCATCCAAGATCTAAGGTATAATTCGTTATTCAAGCGATATAACAAAAGGTCTGTTGTATCAATTGAAGTTGAGCTGAATTTAGAAAATATATATTTTTTAAATTTTCATTTTGCTTTGTTACTACTGAGAGATGCTTCAGTTTACGTTAAATAATTTACTTTTATTATCCATATTGAATTATTATCATTCACTGTTTATGGGTGGGTGACACACATGACTCTACTCAGATTAAAAGGTTTGAGGAAATATAAATAGATGCCATTGTGTGTTACTACACAACAAAATCTCAGTTAAATACATTGAAGCAATTGTGTGGGAGTGCTGGAGAAAGCCTGTTGCATTGACTTGCAGAACTGTTCTTTTATCTGGGTATGCAGTACAGCTGACATATTTCTGCTTTAAATCAAAAATCTCAAGGGTTGCATCCTCAGCCTAATGCACACCATCAATATTATAAACAACCACAGAATAATTAACATATATAACTAAAAAGCTTACTTTTGATTTTATTAAAACACAACAAAAACACAACAGCAACAAAAAATATGTTATTTTTGAAGGAACCTCCTTCAGTGGGGAGTTTATGCAGCAAGGTTTGAATGAGTAATTGATCGATTAGTTTTTCTTTGAACTGCAGCATCGTGCAATACTGTGTTGGGAATTTATTATGACAAACAAAACGTGGCCTAGCCTATCCACAAGTTCAATATTTTCCTGGTGAAAATAACACTTAGAACAAAATTAATACCCATGCTTCTGTATCTGAGTGTTTATCATTAAACTACCAGATCACGTGATGACACATTCTACCTATCAGCCATGTTCAAATGACACATTTTGATCCACAATATAACTGGGATCAAACAATCTAATATTAAAATATCAAACAAATCCTCCCAATTTCTGGTTGCTAAAATCTGCAGGGATTTCATTGTTTATGAACATACAAACAAGGAGAAGGAGTAGAATAATGAGCCCCTCAGGCCTGCTGTGCCATTTAATAAGGTCATGGCTAATCTGATTGTAACTTCAAATCTATATTCTCGCCTAACTATGATAACCTTTTCACCCCCTTGCTAGCGTGAATTTATCTATCTCACCTTAAAAATATTCAAAGACTCTGGTGAAATCTTATTGGGATCTGAGTGATGCAGTGAGCTGTGTGGCAGATTCGGGTGATCAGCCCATCTCAGGAGCAACTTTTATACCATTGTTTCATTTTTAATTTAAACTTATCATTATAAGCCATCTATTATGCTTTTCACAAGCAGCCTAGTAAGATTCCCTCTGTACTGCGACGAGATTCCTGTTAACAGGAATTAATGCTTGTTTAAACACCTTGTTAACAGTACAACTCACCTTATTAACATTCAGCTTCCCTTCTGCACTGCTGATTCTGGGAGAGAAACGAGTCCCACGTTGACACCACACCATCTACAAGAACTTCCAGGACTCTGTCCACAGAGCACCGGTTTTCTCC